TCCGTCGACGACAGGCAAAAATTGTCCGATAATGAGTGTTAAAATGAACACCGCCGCAAAATGGCAACTCTCTGAAACTTATCAACTCGCTTTACAGTGCGAAAAAGAGACCGAGGGACGAAACGTCTCGTACTTTTCTAACACGCGAGATACGATTGCTTTTCGATCGCGAACTTATCAAATAGTCTCGCGACGTCGACTCTGTCGCGTCGTTCACAGCCGTTACTTTCTTTCGTCGCTCGCGCATTCGAAGAAAATGACATTGTGCGCGATGAAGAAAGGGAGAGACGAAAGAAGTCGCACGCCCGTCTCTTCGTCGATCCGCCTGCGTAATTATTACGAAGTAACGAAGGGGCGCGCTCGATCTCGATCCGTAAGAAGGGATTCAATGACGAGAGGCGAGCTCGGAACGGCGATACTTGATCTTACGTCAGTATATACGCCATTCATCCTTTCTCGGTCATCGGGCAGAGCGCTCAGAATCCTTTCGTCGATCCTTCACTCCCAGTCTCGGAGAAGAGCGAGCCTTAAAAAGTAAAACCAAAGACTCGGTTTCTCCTTTGCGCTTAACGACAACGATCGTTAAGCTACGGGCACGCCCATCGGCGAAATCACTATACTTAACACGAGGCTGCACCGCGGATCCGACGTATCATTCCGCTCGATTCAGTGAAACGTGAATTAAAAACGGATATCCTCATTAAACGGATTACGCCAACTCTCGCTCTTATCACGCGGCCTGTTATTAAGAGCTTTTTGCGGATTCAAATAGCACTAATAGCTGATCAGGGAAAAGGAAGGGGAAGGGGGAGATTTCAATTTGCCTTGTCGTGTTTATTATGCGACAGAGTTTGACGATGAAACGCGCGTCGATAACATATATTTCGTGTGCAAGACAGTAGTAAAAGAACAGCTAGGTCTGTCCCACTTTCCATGGTTACGTCGTTCCATAGTGACATTTTCGAAAAGTCTACGGTGTTATCGGCGACTTTTGAATCCTCTCAGAACCTGAACTATTTTCTACGACGAATTATAAAAGAGCGTAGTCTAAGTCTAGAAGTTCCGAGAAATCGAATTTTCTTTTTGTACACGTTTCGAAAGTTTAAGGTCTCAAAGATAAGTTTCTAGAAGATTTTAGTGAAAATACTGGCGGAATAAATAGGAATTTAAATGGCTCTTTAGATATTCAATCTCAAAAAATATGTAAATAGCCATTAATTATAGTTATAACGCGATATCAAGAATACTAAATAATAATTTCTGAAACATGATATTAAATTGCTAAAATATGTACATAAAAAAATTTACTCGTCAACAACTTTATACATATGTATATAAAGTATTTAATACATACAACCACGTATATAATAGTGAGATATCTTATTCAATTTTTCGTTTCGGTTAAAGGCACTTATGCACATCAGCGACGCACATTTTTGTCAACGCAATTCTTTCGTAATATGAAAAATAATTACTATTTAGCTATAAAAAATGTGTAAATATTTACTAAATATGTAAGAATACATGTGTAAAAACGTAAAGTAATATATACAGTAATTAAAAAAAAAAAATCCTCGAAAACAGGTTATTTTCTCGCGCTTTAAACTAAACTACCCTCTTAAAAATGGTTACAAAGTAAGATCTTCATCGTTTCGCTACAGGTTAACAACAGTTTAGCGACTGTTTAGTAGCTGCTCGGCAACTATTAAGCGACACCAGTGCCAAGTAAAATTGTCGTTGATACCCCCGCCTCGAATTACGGAATCCTCGAAAATAAAAGGCCTCGGGGCGGGGATGTTCGCTGGCTTTCGTAGGTCACGGTATTTTTCCAGGCGATAGGTCAATGGGTTGCGCTCGCAACTCGCCGGTTCCCACGATAACGTGCGCTCGGGCATGTTTCGTGACGGGCGAAGCTTTCCAAAAAGCGTGTCGATTAAGGCCAGGAAGGAAGAAACGTTCCACGGCGAGATGCTCCACGTCGCTCGGTCGATCGTGTCGTTACCCGGCCTAAATCGGTGAGAGCGCTTCTCTCTCCGCGGAGAGTATTCCAGCTTTCGAACTTGTGCGAGCAACTAGTTTAACGTCCGTCGTACGTACGTACGTACGAGGAATTTCTTATGTTAAACTCCGATCGGCTCCGACGACGCGCGTTGCGCTGCCAGCGACCGTCAGGGCACGCCTGCGACCTACTGGAGGAAAAAATCGATCGGGACGCAGCTCGGATTTGAATTTCAAATTCCCCTCGCGAGATTCGTCATGAGCGCGGAATGTAACGGGGCGCTCCTGCCCAGTGTGCTCTCCTCCTGGTACTTTTCCCTCCTGTGCGCTCCTCGCTGTGCTAGAAAACGCGATATCATTCCTCCGGAGCCGCCTGAAATACGCCCTCGAGCGCCCGCTGTTCCTCGCTTCTTCATCGGGAGCTTCTTCAGCGGGAAGGAAAAGAACGCGTGAAGAACGAACACGATCGCTTGCGAGGGTGAATTTACGTGTCTTACGCAAGCTTAGGTCGATGAATCTCATAACTCAACATATCGCTCGAAGATCGACTGCGTATTTAATAATAATTTAAGCGACCGATCGGAGGAACTTCTCTACGAACGCGAAAGTGTTCGGAAGCAGATCCGATCTCGAGTATCGATTAGCAGGCGGGTGGCGGAAGATGAGTCGGGCGTCTCCGATCGTCGATCCGCAATGAGTCATGAGAGTGTCCATTCGTTCCGCGAGGCGATCCGCGCGCGATCGCGCCGCCGTCTGAGTTGCTTTCCGCGCGAGTCTCCGCGTTTTATGATATTCGAAACGTAAAAAAGGAAACACGATCGGTATGTGTGCCAGTAGGTCTCAGCCGAGCTCTTCCTCCCTCCNGACAATTGCAGTGGGAGGAATACAACGCACGGACGAGATGCACTAAGGTAAACAAGGAGAGAGAGAGAGAGAGAGAAAGGAAGATATTTCTTTTAAACTTTGCTCTCTTGCTCGGCCGAAGTTTTCTTTCCATGATATTTATGCTCCACTTTTCTCTCTCTCTCTCTCTCTCTTTTTATCTATCTATCTTGATCTACTTATCTATTTATGGCAGCGGTCTTCACACTTGTAGCGCTGTAAACGTCACTCTATTTTTCTTTGGCACGTGATAAATAATCAAGATAGAATGACGACGCTGTGAGCGTGAATCGAACCGCAGCCCATCTATCTATCTATCTATCTCGTTCCTTCCTTCCCCTCCTCCCGATATTTCTCGCTCCACCGCTCCGCTGAACTTTCGAATTCGCTTCGTTTCCACGGCTAAAAGACACCGTGGACTGGTCTGCGCTGAGAAACCCACTTGTTGGCTCAAACGAAATTCTTGTTTGGGCAAACGAACGGTTTCAGCCCTGAGAATCCAACTTTTACTTCTACGAATCATTTTCATTTCCGTTTCAGAGAGCCCTTTCTGATTCCCACCACCGAAACATTTCTCTTCCCATGTTCAAACGAGGATTTTACTCGAACGAAGAAAACGAGTTCCTCGATGCATCCCGGTGCATCCCGGTGGCTCGTCTTCGAGTCCAAGGGGCGCAGATCGGAAATTAGTCAGCCGGGACGCGAGGAATCGCGAGACGGTCGAGCCGGAATTCGGCTTCTTCTCGCGCGATCTCCTCGGGACGCTCGGGCGTAATGAATCTCGAAGCGAGCGAACGGAAGGAGAACGCGCGGGTAAATAAACGAGCTTAACGAGCTCTCGCCGGCGCGTTATTAATTCGTCTCATGCCGCGATTTGAGGCGCGCTCGCGCCATCGCCGTTAATCCACTTAGGCGACGTCCGCGCGCGCTCGGGCTATTATTAGCCCCGGCGTCGCTCATGACGAGCCGGTCGAATAAACGCGCATCCGACGGAGAAGCAGGTGAATATATGCAGCGCGGCGATAGCGCGCGCAGGTCGAGCTGGCACACTTTCCTCATTGGCTCGATTCGCGCGCGTTACCTCGTTCCGGCGATTTTCCAATGCCGCGAGCGAACGGGGAAACGCGAGCTCCCGGCGTTTCCGCGGAGAGAGACAGGCCGGTTAACCCTGTGCGTCTTATTAATTTCTCACGGCAACGCCGTTACGTCTCCGCTTCGTCCTGCGCGCGCTAAACGCTGCAAATGACTTCCGCTTAGACGCCGCACTCGGCGTGGTGCAATTGAGAGATGATATCGCTCCGTCGTAACTCGGTTAATCGCGCCGACGATCGACGTATCATCGAGGCCACTTCGATTCCGCTGCGACAAGAAATGCGGACGCACGATCTCTCCTTCTCTCTCTCTCTCTCTCTCTCTCTCTCTCTCTCTTTCTCCCTCACGTGTATGTATGCTTCCAAGCACGTATGCTTTATTAACATGCGTTGCACAACAATAAATACATGTGTAAAAAAATAAATACGTAAAAAAAAAAACATAATCGAACAATGTGTACTTTGGTTTCTTCGGTTCCTTCGGCGTTCCTGGATTGTTCGTTCACTGAGAAGGCCCCGGAGCGGCGGCCCAGAGGGGATTGGCTGGGCCGCCGCGCGCGAATTTCGCACGGGCAAACGTTTGTTCGAACGTCACTTTCTTCTGTAGCTGTCAATTAGTTTCTCGGACACTGTCGTCTCGTCGGTATGTATGTATATGTGTCACTGTCACTGATCTTGCGTCGTCGCCGTCGTTACCGTCACTGTCGTCGTCGTCGGTCGTTTTCCAGACGTCTGTTGGCTCTCCTTCCGCGGCGACCGTGCAGCTTCGCGCGGCTAACTCGCGATAACCGAGAGGATACCGAAGCCACGTCGGGGCGGAGTCGAATGAGCGATACGATGATGAAGATGCGATGATGAGAATGCGAGGGAAAATGAAAATCGCGCCGCCGTCAACGTGGCTCGCGTCTCGCTCTGATCATCGCGAGAAAAGCTCCGGTCGCGCGGAGGAGGGGGAGAAGGGAGTCAGGAAGCCCGTGGGATCTCGATCGAATTGTTCGCGGTGGATGCTGACGATTGACGAGAAGGGTATCAGGACGCCCGCAGGTTGGCGTAGAGGTTCGCGTATCCTCGGTAGGGTAACTGTGTGCGGTCCTCGTCGTCGTCCCCGAGCGACCTCTTCTTGCGATGATGATGACCGACCTCCTGCGCGTACACGACGTGGTGGCCGCCGCCGTGGTCCTCGCCGCCGCCCGCCAGCTTCTTCACGGCCACGATCAGCGAGAGCATCAACGCCATGGCCGACACCATCAGCGCCTTCATGGCCAGCAGACCCAGCGCGCCGAAGCCCATCGCCGCCATCATTTTACCTGGTCGCGTCGGGAGAACACGCGGGTTCGTTAACGGGATTTTTTAATTGGACCGGTGCTTTCAGATCGACGTGACGTGACGAGGATTGTTCACGGGGAAGCTTATATATGCGAAATTAAACGGGATAATCACACGGAAGGAAGATGTCGAAGCACTTTTCGGATTGCACGGAGGCAAAAGATTAATTGGATTCACGTGACATGGAGTTAACCGAAGGAAACGGATTATCTGGTCCTGAGAATCGAGTTTAGTTCGTCAAAACTTGGGTTTGTGTGGACTTAGTTCAACAAAACTGAACATTTTGTTTCTTTCAACGAAAACACGTTTGGTTCATTCGTCGTCACGTCAACGAATCTTTTCTTCTGTGCAATACATTTTCTTCTTTTAATGGCAATGTTACTGAAACTGAGACTCGAGTTGTTAAAATAATATTATCAGATAACAGAGTTATTAGATTAATAGAGTTATTATAACAATAGTTATTAAAATAATAATATGACGTATCAGTTTCAATAATACTGCTCTATTGAATCAGGATTCATTCTAAGTAAAAAAACGCTGTTGACACAACAGCATTTTTTTCCTGTAAATATTTGATCCTGCAGAGATTTGATCAATTCACTTTTATTTTGGTCAGATTTGATTTTCATTGATGAAATTTGTGTGTGATCAACTGCAAAATTTTTTGTAATAATAAGATATGTAAAAATTCGATCAACTCCCTTTTATTTTGATCAGATTTGATTCTCATTGGTTAGATTTATGTGTATGTAATCAACATTGCGCGTAACTTTTGTAATATTTCTTGTAAGACATATAGAAACTTGATCAACTCTTTTTAATCAGATTTCATTGTTATTGATTAAATTTATGTGTATGTGATCAACATTGTATAATTTTTTAAATATATATAATGATTTAACTAACTCTCTTTTATTTTGACCAGATGTGATTTTTATGAATGAAATTTGAATGTTTGATCAATATTGCGAAATTTTTGTTATATTAGGATACATATAAAGATTTTTGATCAACTCCTTTTCATCTTGATTTTAGTTAATTAGATTTATATGCTTGACCAACATTGCGTAATTTTTGTAATAATACGAGATTAGTTCGAGCGATTTGGCTGAATGTGCAAACACAGAACATTTATACGAAACGAGACATGACCGCGCAGATACGAAGCAACGCGTGATCATTACTTTCTCGCATTAATCACTCTCTTGTACGACGTCGATTATTTGCGGCCACTTACCCATCATGAGAGCCATTATCAAGATACCGCTGCCGCCTCCTTTCTTGCCGCCGCCACCTCCTTTGCCGCCTCCGAAACCGCCGCCGCCACCGCCCAAGCCGCCGAAATTGTCTCCCCTCGCTGCAAGATACAAACTCTCAGAGATCGCCGACCGAATTCTCGCGATAAGCATCGCGAATTATCACCGACATCCGCGACTTCACACGGAACAAAAATGCTGTTGTGCATGATCGGTCAACGTAATCGGACGAAATGTTCTTGATTCAATAATGACATCGTTGAAACCAACATTTGACTTATTAAGAATCAAAGTATGATGGTTTCGATAATATCGCTATCGGATCGAAAGGATTCGCTCCAATGACGGCGCTGTTGAGCAATTCTGTCGACACCAAATACCATTTTCTACACGAAGAAAATATCGTAGTAAAAATTATCACAACATTTTAGAGCGCTGAACCATGCCGGAATTTGATAGTGAAATTATAACGTGTGATATAATCTTTAATGATACGTGTCACGTGTACACGTCAAAGTTCTAAAGATTGCAACGCACGTAATACTTTTGATAACAATTCCGGTGTAATTCAGCATTACAAACTTTCACGGTAATTTTTACACGATATTTACTCCGTGTACAACCGTCACCGCACAGAAAAAAAATTAAATCAAGAAGATATTCTCGTATGTAAGCAAAAATATCATAATCTTCTTAGAAGATTTTTAGTTTCGATTCGATAAAATTTATATTGAATGCAAATATGCAAATATTACTTGAACTCATTTCAAGACTAAAAATCTTTTAAGAAGATTCTAACATTCTTGCTTATAGTGAGAACATCTCTTCTTGATTTAAGACTAATTTTTCTTCGTGTGTGGCTTTTGATCCCTTCTATCAACTATATTCTCTCGCTCGGGAAACTCCGATCGCTATTCATAATCACATCTCGTATTTAAGGCTGTCTCAGATTCATCTTTCGGTATTTCGTGATCAATGAAGTGAGTCGTGCAGCTTCGATAAACTCGAGACGATCTTAAACACAAAATCTGTTTATGAATACCACCTGTCCACCTTTTCAATATGGCTTTAACGTCCGATAAAGTATATTATCGTTATTATTACATAACATCAAAAAATATATTAAGTCCTATCTATCTGACGACGCGCAACGGATTGATCTCGGGAAAGCGAGTTTCCGGGAGGCGAATTTCGTTCGCGATAGCTAGAAATCTCACATCCTCCGAAAGGCGTTCCGTCAGGAATATCGGACCGAACTCACTTTCCTCCAGCGAAGATGGAGTTTTCTCTCCCGCGACGCGATTACCCACCTTCGGACTCGGAAGGCAGACTCTCCTGCAGCGCGGTCTCGATGTTCGCCGGCAGTAGGGACGGCAGCTTGACTCGCAGCTCTCTACCCTCCATGAACTGCAGGAACGGTCCGAGGGTGCCGAAGCTCTTGAGCACCCTGGCCTTGCGCGTTGATCCGCTGGGCACTTCGACGAGGGTCACCCCGTCGAACAGCTCGATGTCCCGTTCCTTGCCCGTGCTCTCCAGCATCTGCTGCACGATCTTCCGGACGATTCTCACGCCGTGGCAGGAGATCGACATGTTCTTCGCGTCTTCGCACGGCGCCGAGGCGCTCGTCCACGCGTCCTTATCCGCGGCGTCGGCGAGCGAGAGCGCGCAGATCGTCAGCAGGATCAGCCGGACGAGCGGGCGCCGCCGGGCATCGTCCTCTACCCTCGGCATCGTGTCTCTTCGATTACCAGGAACTCTGTATCGCGGCCGGACGTCTGTGGCACCGAGCGCGGACGAGCACCGGGTACCCCGTGTGGTCTTTCTTTCTCTCCCTCTCGACTGACTCGAACGCCGGTCGCAAAATGCGCGCGAGGGTGCGAGTCCGCGCGGTTGCGTAGCTGCGGAACCTACGGCGGAGGTCCGAGTGCTGCAGCGTACGAGCTTGCAATTGCCATTTATATAGATCTACGTGACGGTCGGTGATTGTAGCAGGAAAAAAGCAAGGAGAGCATTGGTACGGTGGCTGGCCGTTCTCTGCTCTTGCTGTGCATTAGCCGGTGAATTTTTCGTCCGCCTGACGGCCTAGACGGTCTCCTCCGACGCTCGCTCACTCGCGCGATTCGTTTAATTCTTGTTTCCGAGCAGCGTTTCAGAGCGTTACGGCGCGGTCCGCGCGCGAGAGGAGCCGATCGGTTCCGTCAGCGAGCGAGCCGAGAGCGACGCCTTCCTTCTCGCACGCCGGTCTTCCGCTCGCTCTTTCTCTCTCTCTCTCTCTCTCTCCGGTATATCGGCGCGATCCGCCGTTTAGCGAGATGGATGGCTGGATGGATAGACAGAGAGGAGAGAGAAGGAGAAAGAAATTCTTCGCGCCATTCTAGATCACGTCTCGGTAATCCCGGATCGCGCGAAGATACGGCCCTCTTCTCCGCTCTTCGATTCCTTTCTCTCCTTCCGCGCTTTAGTGGAGCGGAAGAGAACGTGCCGATTTCGAATAGCGATCACGTGCCGACACGCAGAGACGCGAGGAGCCCGCCGAGCGGAAGACGAGCGAGGCGCGCCGAGGAAGCGTCGGCTCCGCCGAGAGGTTCGCCGAGCGTCGTCGACGCGGATGCTATTTCGACAGGTGGCACGCGCTCTCCGGGTGAGGAGGAACACCTGGGCCGCCTTACACGCCCGAGGAATGCGTCGGAGGAATGCGCGAAGGGACGGCGGAAGGCGACGGAGGTAGAGGGAACGCGAGCGAGAACGAGGACGAGGAACGTGGACGGGAAGGAGAGATGACTAGCCGAATCTAGTTCATCTCCGCGCGCGCCTTTCTCTTCTGTTCCACTTCCCCTCGCACGCCCGACGCCCCGTGGTTACGCGCGAACAACCGAAGGCCCGCTCGAGGTATAACTACGGCTGGAAACCCCATCCTCCCGTTCCTCGAGCCGATCGACGACGATCGAGTCTCGTCGACTATATAAACCTGAATCCGAGCTCGCGAACTGCCAAAGCCTCCGCCATGAGCTCCGCTCGCGCTGATTAGAAGAAGCGCGAGAAGGGCTCCCTCTTTGTCTCCCTTTATCTATCTACCTATTTATCTGTCTCTCTCTCTCTCTCTCTCTGTCTATTTCTGCGCGAGAGCACCGAAGGTTCGAAACCCCGCGAGGTATTGATATTATATACGCACAATACGCGTAGGGAATGGTAGTTTTAATTAGTGAACGTGTCAGCTCGCAATTAGCAGTGAACGCTGAGCTATGCTCTGCTTACTTCGAGGCGAGGTTTCGCGACTCCATCACTTCGCCCGTCCTGCGTACAAACGCGCTTCATGCTCGATCCTTATGGGCCTCCCCGCGAGTCTCTTCCGCAGCTCGCAGTGGACGGTTATCAGGGCTTCAACAAGTATCCAAGTATCGCGATTATATTATCATTGCGTTAAAAAGTTGGCGCGCGTGTGTGTGAGGTTCTCGTATATTCCAATACTTGTTCTTTTCTCTTCCCTCTTTCCTCTATCTCTCTCTCTCTCTCTCGCTGTCTTTCTCTCTGCGCTTCATGCGTTTCATTCAACCTGTTACACTTAATCTTACCGAAACTCGAGGAAACGCCGATTAAATCGGTAAGTCATTCCGAAATACTCGGAAAATTCAGTCCCTTATCAAGGTAACGCCTTTTAAAAAATAAGTTTTCAGGCGACTGTAACGAATCGATATTCACGGACGAAACCGATTCGGTCGGTCGGGACTAATTAATATATATAATCTAGATTAATTAATATAACTAATTAATATAATATAATCTAGAGTTCGCACCGCAGCCGTCGCAATAATCGCGCGATAATAACTCTTTTACGGCGACGAGCCAGCCGATTTTCACCGTTTCGCTCCGGTATTAATCTCTGCGGTCTGCAGGTGATCGCGCCTCCTCGAATAAGCGGGAATTCAGGTTACCGGCGACGATCGGCCCACATATCGGAAATCAACGGTTCATTCCAGATCCGTCGTGGTCTCTTTTCCCGATATCGGCGGCATTAATTGGTCGCACGCACGCAGGCACGGATAGTGAACGATTCGTGTCATCGTCTGCGAATACGGGGAATAACGTTGACACCTCTGCGTAATAAACAGCGCGATCGAGTTAGACGGTTTCGAGAGCGCGTTTCATCCTCGCCGGCCCTGCCGTCTGATCGGTCGGTCGGTCGGTCGGTCACTCGATGACGGCGATATCCGTATACGATCGAGGTTTCGGACACATACCGGACTTCAATTTCTTCCCTCCCCTCCCTGTGAACGTGCGAACGGTTTTCGAAAACAGAAAAAGAAAGAAAGGTGGAAGGAAACTGGGTCAAGTCCGCGATCCTCGTCGCTCCGTACATCGGAAATCGAAAGTCGATTTCCTCAATGGCACGGGATGAACGGTTCTTTCTCTCTCTCTCTCTCTCTCTTTCCGTCCCTTTCTGTCTCTCTTTCTCACCGTCTATCCCTCCTTCTTCTCGACACACCACCTCCCTTATCATCGCGCGGTTATCTTCCTTCCGATCCTTTACCGATCGTGATGGAGAAAGCGGACCCCGCGAAAGGAGGTCGACTTATTTGAATGAGAAATGCCGGGTACAGCACGTGGTCCAGTCGATTTTCCCTTCGATCATGATAGACGTGCTCAATTCCTCGCGAAATGCACGAGACTTCGTCGCTTAAAGTATAACTTGGAAATAGTCTTCGTCTTGTCATTGTCACACAACGAGGTCGACGCGTGGATTTACGATGAGAAGTTTATAATCCAAAATTTAGGATCAAAATTTCCACCGAATACACGAGGAAAAGAGAAAAGAGAGAGAACGTCAAATGAAAATATATACAACTAAGTAATAATGGATAATAATGGAAAAGCCTTCGTCTTGTCATTGTCAACAAGGTCGGCGCGCGGATTAATGATGAAAATTTTACGATTAAAATTTCAACCAATTATACGAAGAAAAAAGAACGACAAATAAAAATATATATAACTATATAACAATTGGCAGTAATAAACAATAATGGAAGCCTTTGTTTTGTCAATGAAATCGAAGTGCGGATTAACAATGAAAATTGACAATCAAAACTTTCACTAATTATACGAAAAAGAAAGAAAAATGACATATAAATAAAAATACATATAGCTTGGTAGCAATAGATAGTAACGGGAAAACCTTTAGTTATTGTCAACGTGATCGAAGCGCGGATTAACGATAAAAAATTGATGATCGAAAAATTTCCACCGATTATACGAATAAAAAAGTATAGAGAAAAAACGACAAATAGAAAAATATTTAACTAGATAATAATTGTTAATAATAGATAATAATACGAAAGTTTTTATTTTGTTATTATCAACGAGATCGACGCGTGATGATGAAAAAATTGCAATCAAGATTTCCACTGACTAAGCAGGGAAAAAAAGTATTAAAAAATTAGTTGTAGAATATAAGACTTATTTCTGTGAAATAATAAATAATAAGTTTTCACAGAAATAAACCTTATTTCTACTAAATGAATCTTACACCCTACAAATAAACGTTTTAATATTTTTTCTCAGTGTACGAAGGAAAAGGAGAAGAACGATAAGTAAGAAGATATATAGATGATAGATAATAATAATAGATAACAGTATAAGTACATTGATAAATTGTTTTCGTTGTTGTTTTTCTACTCTAGTGTGCACAACGAGTCACGGGAACTAGCGGTAACGTGGCTGCGAAAGACGTGAATTCAGATTACACCATACACAATAAGCCGGTTAGAATAATCACACGCCCGGCGTTAAAGTCCCGCTAAGAGTCGCAAAGCGGAACACTGCACTTGACATTTAACTCGATATCGTCGGTGACTTCGCGGTCTCTGAAGAAAGAACCGCGACCTTTATGTAAGAATCTCACGTAATAAAGCGTACATGCGCGTCGTTCTCTTTTCTTTCTTTTTTGTTGTCGTTTCAAACTACACGCAGAATTGGAATTCGATCGCGATCGGACTCGGTAGTTGCGAGTTCGACGAACTAAAATTTCCGCAAGGTCTCTCATTTTTCCCTCCTCGTTTTCTTTTCGTTTTTCTTTTTCTTTTACAGCGTGCTGCTTTTCAAGGTTGAGTATATCGGGCTGAACGCAGCTGAAACTCTCGTTTCTAAAATTCTAGCGTACATGCCGTGACTTCGTTTTGACTTCAGCGCGGAAGCAACGAAATGAATCGGCTGGATGTGAAAACGGGCGGGAAGGAACTTTTATTCTCGCGTCTACGCGTTGTTCCGCCCTGTCCGTTCTACAAGCCGCCTTAAATAGACCACAACTAACGATCGCCGGCTAAGATGCTTACCTCGCATAACAATACCGCCTACGTATCGTTCGCGGAGACTTGTGTTTAGCTACGACGACGCGTAGTCGAGCGTGTCCGTCTCGGGCTCGCTCGAAAGTTGTTTCACTGGAGAGACGTCACTCATTACGATTAAAAAAAAGGGGGACAGCCTCGGGCTTGATGTCGAGTGTTACATCCTTTCGGCGACTTTTGCTTGAAAACACGTGTCCCTCTTAACGTTATCAGCCATTATTAAATCGAGTAAACATTATTTACCTCGTTATTTTATCATTGTAACGTGCTCAGCGCCATTTTATCCAATCTAAAACGAATCCGTACTAAAACCGAGTAATTACGATCGCGTATCATGGCTGCAAATAGGACGCAAAAAGACGGAGCAATCGTTGTGATGGGATGAAAAAAATTATACGGCATGATAAAAATAAAAGATAAATAAACTATGTTATTATCTTAATGAGGAGGCGAGCCGAATGAAAAACAATTAACTCGTGGTGCATTCTCGCGCAGAAAAAACTAAATTCAAGAAAGGCTAAATTCAAGTAAATAATTACACCAATACTTCTTGGTGAATGTTTACTTGGATTAAATAAATTTTACTTGGGAAACATTTTACTTTTGGATCGAGTGATTATTATTTGTTAAAGTAAAAACTTGCTAAAGAATGTTAGAATAATTCTTTACTCGAATCTAGCATTCTTTTTCTATTTGCGATTATTGCGCATTTCTGCATTGCGGGTCTGACGAACGACAAAGTTACGTGTGTGTTTCTATAAAAATAATAAATATTTATTTATTTATACAAGGAAAAAACAACATAGAAAAATATTATCATATACTCTCGCAGTCTCGTTAATCGGATAGGACGATAAGTTAGACACGGATTATAAATAAAGCATAGTTACACGCATTTCTTGTACGTATGTATATATGTGTATGCGTGTGTGTTTGTGTGTGTGTGTGTGTGTGTGTAGGGCCTGCAATCGCAGAGATTTGAGCGTAGAGTACGTCGGCGTAATGTCCGTCCTTCCGTCGGCAAAGTGCACAGTCCGCAGTAACGAATACGTCCGTCCGTTTTGTCCGGCGGATCGCCGCAAGACTCTCCGTTGAGGACGACACGTCCTAATTCGCGATTAATGACGCGCGAGCCGTGTAATCGTCCGATTACTCGCGCGACGGCCGCGTAATAATTCCGTCGCGAGTTACTCTCCAATCATCTTTCGACTATTTACACGTGTTTTGGCGCAGCTCCGCGATTTCCCTCTATCACAGTCTGCAATTGCACGAGACTCCCGGAGAACCTGATCTCCCGATCGCGGCGCATTTACTCTTGAGAAGCGACGGAAAGCTCCGGAGAGACGTTCGAAATCTCGCGAACAAATCAATTACCAACGAATCGCATGAGTGTAAAAACGAAGTACGCTGTTCTCTCCCTCTCTTTTCTTTAGCTCCACCATCGGCGCTAAATACAGCTCCGGTACTGAATTACGCACAGAGCGAGGCGACAACAAGCGTCACCTCGAGTATCTTCGAAGTGTGAGCGAGAGCGGGGAAAAGAAGTATCCGACAGAAATTGCACAGTGCAGAAGCGCTCGGCGTGATCGTAAAAACTTCCCCTTTTTCACGCTAACGTTTTCTTCCCAGCCAGATGGGGCAGTTTCGAAGATCCGTTTCCCGGCTTCGTTTTGTGTACAATTTTCCGACGATAGTCACCGCCTCATTCTGCACAGTCCTCCAGAATGAGACCACCGTTCGACGCGAAATGATAATCGGGCAGCCGACGTTGAACACGTGACGCGAATGCGGAAGCGGGAATTCGGACAGTCGGATTTAACGTTAGACGCGGGACGCTAGCCGAGAAAAAGAAAGAGAGAGAGAGAGAGAGAGCTTCTGTCACAGAGATCCGCATGATTAACTGCCGATGACAATGAAGAAGAACGCCAATGAACGCTCGTCACGTGTGCGCCGCCGATATCCCGACGACCGAGAGTCTCGCGGTAATCCGCGATTATGCTCGAGTGCTGTCGCGAAAGTAGGTGAGAGCCTAACGATGCGTACGGTACGCGGTCCGAGAGGTTCTTATCCACTCGGGCTACGTATCATTGTAATCCGCGACGTGACGTCGACGGTGAGCTCGTTGTCGTCGTCGATTGTTGTCCGTTGAAATCGCGCGTAAACCGTCGCTGACGTGTCTCGCGCGTGTCGTCGTCGTCATTTCGTGCGTCGGGTCCGTCCAGGGTTCAGGCTCGTGGATGTGGGGGACGAAGAGCGATCCTGCACGAAGAAGAATGATCGGCTGAATTGGCGCGACGACGAACGGAACCCGAACGCCTTCGGAAAGTTCGCACCGAGAAGGAAACAATACAGTTGACTCGACAAAATTCGACGGTCCAGCCCGTTCGAAGAAACGTTGCGCCCATTGGACGAATCGCGCGTTTTTTCACGGCAATACGGTTGCGTCGAGTGACGCTCGCCGGAGGAATCGTTCGATCAGTCGGCGACTCGTTACAGCGACTGTATAATTCGTTAAACAAATGTACAATTTCTTCATCTTTTTCATCATTTCTCCGGCGGGCTAAAAGTTTGAAGGAATGTCGTTCGTTCAAATCAAATTCCCTTGATTCTAACGCTTCCTTTTTCCTCGGCGTGGGTGCCGAGTCCGGTGCGTGAGAACTAGAGATACCGTTTCCTCCGACGAAAATACGTCTGGTTCGTTCATTGTCACATTATTAACTCAACCGGTCTTTCTTCCTCGTGTGGGTGGGATGAAGAGAAGACGAAGAGCAGCAAAGAGAGTGGCGTAATAAATACTCGACCGGGGTAGATTTTTCGCGACGATCCAGGATCACCTTCCCGGATGCCGATCCGAGGACGTTGGGGTGAGGGGGAGGGAGGGGGAGGGGAGACGCGTCCCGATTGTCAGGACGATCCTCGGACCCTTTTTCCTCGCAGGTGGCGGATGTCGTTCACTTGACATGCGCCGAATAAGCCAGCTCATGGGCGTCCGGTTGCCCGGAGATCGGCGTTGATCCGTGGAAATTCCTCGCCCAGCCGCTGGAGTAGCTGTCACCGCCGTGGCCGCCGTGGTCACCGTGGTGAGGATGCGCCACCACCTCGTATGTGACGTGCTTCTGCTGCGAGAAGAGCTTCTTCAGGCCGATGATGCCGGCCAAGAGGAGGGCGATCTTCGACAGGAGGAGAGCCTTGCCGACCAGCAAGGCGAGCGCCTTGAACGCGAGGCCGCCGATCAGGCCGATCTTCAAGACTGCGGCCGCGATCAACGGACCCAGCTGGTTGTTTTTCTTGCCGCGGCCTGCGAGACAGAAGCGGCGGAGTACCGTAAAACCGTTGTTGTCGCTCACTCTCGGCGGGAGTTCTAACCGAGAAGACGACAAAAGGAACAAGAACGCCGCGGCGCGTAATTGTACTTTCCACAGAGAAAGCAGTCAAGTTCGGCGGTGATGAGCAGATGAATGAGTTACGGCCGGCGAAAGCCGTCTGTTTATGCAGCCGGTGACACAACTTGGCGCGAGCGAAAATTGAAACGAAACTAAAACCGACGTGTCATTTCAATGAGAGAGGAGTGTGCGGGTTGACGTCTCGGCGTGGCGGACTTGCACGATGAGCGAAAGAGGAAGATGAAAGCGCTTCTTTTCGAGACAGTTATCATTTCTCCCTTTTCAGTTTTCCAACGGAAACAATTCCCTCGGAACGTCAGTAATTTTTATTAAATTACAATTACCAAATTAGAATTACCGAGCGATGAGCAGAGGAAAGATGAAAACTTCCGCTCGACACAGAAATCATTTCTCCTCTTTTTAATAGAAATAATTTTCTTCGAGTATCAGCGGTCTTTATAAAATTAGGATAACCGAAATGAAACCACCAGAAAAGGAAGATGAAAGCTTTTGAATACAGATATCATTTTTTTCTTTCTCGAATTTTCTTAACAGAAATAATTCTCTCGGAACATCAATAGTTTTTACCGAATTAAGATGATCAAATTAGAATTATTAAATAATAGGCGAAAAAGAAAAATAAAAAAGCTTCTGTTTAATATGAAAATCATTTTCCCTTTTCAGTTTTTTTAACAGAAACAACTAAAGAATAATAATTTTCTTTACTGAATTAGGATGACCAAATTAAAACTATTAAATATTAGGTAGAAAAGATAATGAAAGCTTCTGTTCCATACACAAATCATTTCTCCTTTTTCGTTCTTTTTTAATAGAAATTACTTTCTCTCTCTCTTTTTCTCTCTCTCTGTCGAAATATCAATAGGCTTTACTGAATTGGAATTATCAAATTAGAGCTACTAAATTAGAATTAAAATAAAAAGAATTTGACGAATCAGATTTTGAAAAGATTACTTCAATTTTTGCTAAAAAGTTATTGCAATATTCAGCAAATGCGTCAACAATTAACAAATATCCTGATAATATTAACTTTGTCTTACTCTGTCGGCAAGATTTGACGAATCCCTCAAAAAAAACGCAAAATAGTTACCGTCTTGAACAGGTTTGTCAGCGCGCTCAATGGACAGGCCCAAGTTCAACGAGCCGGTGTCGTCCTCGGACGCGGACACGACGATGTCATCTTCGGGCAGGATCCTCCACTTGACGCTCCTCGACTTGACGAAGGCATACACCTTATTCGCGACGAGATCGAGCACCTGAATCTCGTCATCCTTGCTCCTGCCAGCCTCGAACGTAATCACGTCCTCTGAGGTCTGACTTGTCTTTCGGATCTCGATGTCGTCCGTCAGCTCGATCGACGCCTTCTTCAGCAACTTGTTCATATACGTCACCAGCTTCAGCATCACGCAGCTGCTCATGTCGTTTTGGGAGCATTTCGAATTCAGTTTGCGAAGGAGCTCCTCCTCGTACTTAACTCGATCCGTCGGACTCAACGTCGCGGACTGCTGCTCAACGACGCTTATCTTCTCCTTCTTCTCCACCGGATTGGCCAAACATACGCCTAGGACGTATAACACCAGCACTAAGATCGCCTTCATGATGCTCTTCTGAAACATTCCACGATATCAGTCAACGACTCTCAATCATCAAGATAAGGGCGACGAGAAGCAAAAAAACACTTAAAGGTAAGTTCCAACATTCGGCAACACAGTTAATATCTTTAGATTAACTGAAGAGACTAAAAACGAACAGAAAAATATAAAACAAAACTGACAAGGGTAATCACTGAATGGTTTGATTACATTAGTTTTCAGTTGAAATAAGTTGGTTGAGATATAATTTCAGTCGAAGTCAAAGTTTAGTCGAAATAGTTCTGAAAGATAAAACCAATAAGTTTCGAGTGAATCTATCCGAACGGGACTTATTTCGACAAAAACTATTTTGACTAATTTTAATTAAAAGATCACGTGATCGAGCAATTCAACATGCGCCGGACATTCGGCGTAAGATCTCCTCGAAATTAAATCCTCGATGAAATTTAATCACAGATAACAGATTAATTACGATCACGGAAGCACCCAATGAGCAACGCGAGGAGACCGCGCGCGAAATCAGGCGCGAAGTTCACCTGCGACGCTGAGCGTGCGCAGGTCGGCGTGTTCGATAATTCGCGAATAACGGAAACGACAAATTGACCCACCTGTTGGGCCCGAGAAGCCACGAAGGAGTTACAGGAGGCGTGAGAAGGAGTTACGGCGATGGGAGCGCGGTTTACGGCGAAAAGGTGACCCTTTCTCTGTCTCTCTCTCTCTTTCTCTCGCTGTTTCGGCTCGCTTTCGATCAGCTGGTCGACACGGTGTCGCGTGTACCGGAGTGCCCTTCGGCGCTCGCTCTTCGCGATTCCGACGCGCGAACCGAGGAGCAGTACTAAGCTTCTGAACCCGCGTCTCGCCCTCGACGACTTTATATACGTAGATCACCACCTTCCTAGACGCGGCTAGGTGTGCGCGACGTGTTGTACCGTCGACCCACCACCTCCCGCAGGAGGTATATGGGAGCCCGCGACGACAGCGGCGGGTGGTGCGCCAGGGACGAGCGGTAGTGGTGCCCACTTTTGCCTTTGATACGGCTTTGAGAGGGACCGACGGTGGGCCTGCGGTAGGTCCACCGGTGTCGGAGGCGCAGGTGGTGGGATCGCGCGCATGACTTGTACGCGCGATTTCGCGCGGAAGAGAGGACCGGAGCTTCCCGGAGCTGCGAAGCTGCGGAGGATAACCCGTCGTCCTTTGCGCGCTATCTTTTCTACCAAATATTTAATAGTTCTCATTTGGTCATCCTAATTCAGCAAAGAAAATTGTTAATCTTTAGTTGTTTCTGTGAAAAAAGACTGAAGAGGGAAAATGATTTTTATATTAAATAGGAGCTTTTTTTATTTTCCTTTTTCGCCTATTATTTAATGATTCTAATTTGATAATTTTAATTCAGTAAAAACTATCGATGTTCCGAAAGAATGATTTCTGTTAAGAAAACTCTATGCGCAATTCTATGGGACAATTTTGTTGAATAATAATAATAATATTTTTCTATTCAAGGGAAAGTAACTCTTGATTACGAAATAGTCTTGGACTTGTGAGCATACGAAAGAAGAATATCCCACCTATCCCCAAAATAAAGAAATAAATTATAAATTAATATTAAAATATAATAATATGGATGATTGACTAGAATAAAAGAATAAGAGGGAGGGAGAGACTTCCGCATTCTTTTAATTAATAGAGATGTAAATTTCGGTCGTATAAGAGAAGATAATAATTATACAAATAATGGAAATTGATTTACCTATTTTACAAGCAGCCAATCTCATCTTATCAGCTTGCGATAAATGTCAATAATGTAGCATACTAAGAGTATAATTTATAATTTACTAGTATAATTACGAGTATAATTTATAATTTATAATTTACTAGACTTGCATGACTGGGAATACTCATATCGAAGCCAAAATTGACATATGACATCGATAAGTAGTTTGATGAAATATCTTTTTTAGCCCGATTGTACATATAAATTTGTACGAGGAAATATCCAAAAAGATAAGGCGCGTTATTTCTGACGCTGATATAGGAGAGAATTTTATCTCGGACAGCAACTACAGTGTAACGTATAGTACAACTGTATATGCACGTCTAGGAAAGCGGAAAGACGGGATATTCGTTGTATTTGCGGCATGGACGGTGCATTCTGGGCAGCGACGTGCGATAACCGTGTCGTTCGCTGCGGTTTCTACACGTCCCGTGCTGCCTTCGAAAAGATTTCGGCGTTACAAGTATATCCTGGCCGGGTGAGATGATCATTTTGCTTTCTCGATTCGGGAGCGTTCTAGAAAAATTCGCCGTCTGCGGTTACCCAGCGGCAGCGCGACACAACAACACGACACGATAACGTCGTCGTCGAAGCGCTCAAAGAGAGCAACTCGAACGCCCATCATATTTCCTCCTCCTCCTCCGAGGGGGAGGAGAACGCGTCGTCCTCCTGCGCGGCAAACTGGTTCCCAGCCACGCGCCCGTGTGCGTAAACGCGTAAACGCCGACGAGGAGCCTGCCTGCCGCGAGTAGCGGGTTCATCGCTCACGGCCCTACGCCTGTGTAGGTGCGTATGTGTATGCACGTAGCACCGCAATTCACGAACGATCGCACAGATACACACACGCGAGAGCCGACACTATCGTCGGTTCGCGCTGGTGGTGGACCCATCCGCGACCCGCCACGAGAACCGTGTCACGGATGTGGAGCACTCACGCCACCCGTCCGTCGTCTGTTCATCCATCCATCCATCCACCCGTCCGTCCGTTCACTCAACCATCCGTCTATCCATCCCCGAGCACGAGAGCAGCCACCTTATACGCGAGCGTGCGACTCGCGTTAATATGCGCGATTCCGCTTCTCACAGACGCTTTCCTCTACACGCTCGTGGACTTTTAGGGTAGTGAGACACGGCTCGGCGGAAACGACCCGAGGGAAAGCCGGGGTGCCGCTGGGAAAGCTGCTGTAAGACAAACGAATGATGATGATGAACGGCAATGATAATAATAATAATACCGACGCGGTGTTTACAGCGCTCGTCCGAAGGAGTTAGTGGAGCGAAGGAACTTAAGCGGCTAAAGAGACGCGTTTAACGTTGCACGAAATCGGCTTGGTCGGCCGATTAACATTCAACCGGTCGCGCTAAACTCTGATTAAGCTAAGTGACGATTAACTTGCGGGATTGCAGGGGAAGTTTCGAACTACTTTCCTTTTTCATTTTTTTCTGCAACAGAAATTCCAACTGATGACTCTGTAAGTTAATCGCCGGTCAGCTTAATCGGAGTTGGGTGCAACCGAGCCTTAAACTGGCCAGCTAATCTCGAGCGTAAAGCCAATGAGGCCCGAAGTCGCAACGCACGCAACTGTATATAAGGTGAATCACTTAACTTTAAAGTAAATAAATATATAAAATATATAAAAAGTAATGCGAAATAGAAAGAAATATTTCGGACAAAACTTATACATAAGTCGGTGATTATAATTTCGTTGTATACTCGGTGATTTCAAAGTCGTTTCAAAGTCACCTTCATTCTTTTTTTAATGGAATTATGTAGTTTTTCTAACACAAATGGATTTCTCTCTGTTAATTCTATATAAAAGTAAACTAGAGTAAAATCATCGAGGAATGAATATTTTCCGAGATATTTCACTTTCCTTCCTGATATTTTTCGATATAAAAAGATACGAAGTATCTCATAAAGTGTTCGTTTTTTGATAACATCACCTCAACACTTTTGTGCGTAGAATAACAGATGAAATTGATCGTTGTAAGCAAACATCTTGGGAAAAAATGATTATATATGAATTTTGTCTATACACGTTCATATATAATAATATATAATTATATATGTCCTATATCTAAAAAATACTGTTATACGAACGTAATTAAAGTAAATCTAACGTTTATGGTTGCTCGCGATGTAAACCCTCAATTCGATCAAAACATTTCTTCCGCTTTTCATTCAATATCTTTACATAAATAGTTTATAAAATTATTCCTATTTCAGTTATTAAAACCCTTCGCCCATATATGAATGACGGGGCAGTCTAAGAATTCAGGCACAATAAAGGGAATAAGGAACAAGGAATTAATATAGAGAATTAAGAATAAGATATTAGAAATAAGATACAGCTTCAAGAACAATAAAAGGAATAAAGTATAAGATATAAAAACGTTTTTTTTTCAAAACGAGTTCGGCCACTTTTATTATATTTTCTAACGAACTTCTACTGCCATCATTAATACTTTTTATCATTTTCTCGATATTTATCGAGAGATCCAAACTGACATTTATCTGTACACTAATAATCATTAGACATTTTCAAAGTTAACTTTCAATAAATCTCTAAGTTCGATAAATATACAAACTATAATGAATATCATTTCGATAACGTTCCTGATCCTAGTTTCCCATTCCTTCATTGTGGGTTGAAGCATGATTGTCCCTACGTAGAAATTTAATTCTTTGCATCTAATTCCCTAGATTTAATCCCTCGTTCCTTATTCCTTTCCTCGCATCCGAGTCCTAAGTATTAATTTTCCAAAAACTGAATGGCGAAGTCGCGAAACGGCGGGACGCGGTCACGGCCGTAGAGGCAGCGACGTCACGTCGAATTAACATACTTCGATGACCGACGATCGGCCGATGCACCGGATGCGCGTTTGCTCCAGAATGACAGGGATTCAGGGTGTCACGGAGAAACTCTCTCGGCGAGCCGGTATCGCCGGCTGACGTTGTACGCACGTCGTCGTGTGCGTGCGCCTAAGTGCAGACAACGCTACGCCTAATCACACGTTACCGCGATCTGGATGCACAATCAAGCGACTCTCGATGCGACGATTATGTCGCTTCCGTTGTTCCCGATATCGCGGCGCGTATCTACGCCGAGGAGGCGCCGACGGGAGGAATACTACTATCGGCCGGCCGGCCGGTGCACGCGTCATTCATTAGCTCTCTGATAAATCTGTCTACGTCACTCGATTGAAAAAGACGCGCACCGAGGCGCTCGCCTGT